TTTGTTTGCTGGGCACTTAATTTTTTTCATGTAACTAAGGACCTTAAGAGATACTATGCAACCACATTTCAGATTTATGGTATTTTGTGTTAAATTGTATATTTGCTTTCTGATTATTTTTGACATAACTACAACAAGACTTGGCATTTTACTTTATTATAACTGCATATAAAGTTGGATTTTTCCAAAATGCCAATTTGAAACTACATTGACAAGACTGACTACTTGAGGGCTGTACTTTACGGAAACAACTGGCAAACAACACCACTGTCCCAAGAGAGATTAATCTTGTAAGCAAGTTATGCAGGTGATTCAAATCCTGTTAATCTCACATAAAAAAATGTTAATTGCATTGGCAAAGACATTGCCTCTGATCACTCCGCAGTTATATAATTAGAGATCGGCCCATTCGGAGAGGCTCTAATCTAATTGATAAGCAGTCAGCAAATGACCCTTGAGATTTCTTCCCCGTTTTTCAATATGTGGTCAGACATAAGGTAGTAACATGAAGAAATCAGTGACCTTGTTTTGACATGTTTTAAAATTAAGTTTGCTTGTTATTCAATGGTTTAAGATTTTCATGCATATTTATTTTAATTGGACGGGGCTGTAATTGTCCAAACTCTATGGAGTATTAATAGGTATTGAGTGTGATCACTTATCAATGCATTGGATGGTTCTGTTATCAACTTACTTTCTAATCCTTCGAGCTTTTCATTTTTTTTGGAGATGATTTTGAGTCAAAAGGGGAGACTCAAGTCACTTCCTTGTAATTTTTAAAATTTCTGTCTGAAAGGGGCTTGGTTTTGTGTTTGGTTATTGTAACAGTTGCCACTGCAAATGCAAATCATTTGAAATACATTTTTGGCCTGTACAACTTCTTCAGTCTTCATATTTATGTTTCTGATTCTCAGATTTTCTGGAAATAAAGTTGGTTAAGAAAAGTGGAAAATAGTTCTTACAAAAAATTTCTCCCACTTAAATAAATGTTAGGCAAACCTACAGTTTTTAACATAATGTTTTCTGTGGGTAATTACGAAAATTGCAAAGCAGAAGGTGAGTTTAGTATAATTAAGAGAAAACAATTGGAATAATGAATAATACAATTTAGAGATAATTGTTAGAAAGGGTGCTATGGACATTCTCAGAATAATACTTTAAAATATGTGACCAAGCTCCAGGATCTCAGGAATTTCCCATGTCGCATTGTTGGGCAGCACATCCTAATACCCAGGTATAAAACCCATGTGGCTGTGTCATGTACATGCAGGTGACTTTCATCTCACTTCTTCTTTGCCTTTGTTTTGTTTTGTTTTGTTTTTCTATCCATCGAATTACATTTTTTCACCATGAGCCAGTGTCAGACTTCCAAAAATTGTATACCACATATGCTCCTGTGGTTATCCAGTTGCTAAGCAACTGGACTCTGCTTGAGGGTAGCAGGGAAGAGAGAAGGTTCATTGTGAAGTTCTGCACCCCTGCTGAGTTCATTTGAACAGCAGCAGGGATCCTGTATCTTGATTCTTCTTGAAATTATAAATCAAGTGCTTCCACGTATCTCTATATAAAACAATGAGGCTTAGAACAAGTACAATGACCAAAAAAACCCTTAAGGATCCTGATGGTCTCCCCTTGAGGAAAGGACAGCTTAGTTTGTGACATTTCTGATGTAACTTTGGCCATTTGGATTAATTGTATGTTGTGATTTTGTGACTGTTAGCAAGTTAAGGAAAGCATACACAAAGTTTTTCTGAAAATATAAGTAAGTATTTTAATGGAACTGGTCTCACATAGTGTTTTTCAATTTATTTTATACCCAGCATAATGTCATGAAAACTTTTCATATTAGATAGGTAGTTTTAATATTGCAATGACTTAACAGTTTTTCAGTGTATAAGTTTGCCGAAATTTATCCTAAAATCTCACGTTTTCCAATATTGTCAGTTTTGCTGCAATGATCCTATGGACTTCTTATTTTTGTTGCAATTATCAGTTATCGAAGTCACTGTTCTGCATTGTTATATTTTGCAGAGTGTCTGCAAGTAATGGTTGCTTTGGTTCTTCTTCAGTGCTCACACTTCCTTTTTCTTACTGATTTTTCATGTTGGCATGCCCATCTTCTTCTGGACTTCAATGGGCATAACTTTTGTATCTTACTTTTAAGAGAATTTTCACATTTAATTTATGACAAAATATCTTCATCACGTTTAAAAAGTCTTTTTGATTCCTTCATTATTTAGATGTTTTTTAATCCAATAGCTATATCTACAGATTTGATCATATATATTGTTATTTCCCTTCCTATTATATAAGTAACCTCCTTTATCTCATTGAAAATTTGACTTCAAGTAATAGAAATCTGCCTAACAATGGCTTAGGCATAAGAGGTTCATTTTTCTCATCCTCACCATTTCTATGATGAAAAGAGCTTAAACACACAAACTCACACACAGATGCACACACACACACACACTCCATGTTTTACCTGCCATTCTGTTTCAGTTTGCTAAATGAAAAGTTGAGACACTTTCTAGAGTTTCCTTTTCACTCTATGCGTCTGACTGATCCCCCAGTTTTGATCTCTCTTTTCTGTCCCCTTTTCCACATCCTATGAACCATTGTGTCAGTTTAAGCTGAAATAATTTCTTACAACAACCCTTTGACTTAATTCATGACTTTGTTTCTCTTCTACTTTATCTTTCACAGACGTGCCAACAAGCCCTTTTTCATATGCTAATTCAAAATGTTGCTTACTTGCTTAAAGTCCTTCAGTAGCTCTCTATCAACCTCAGGGCAGAGCTCACAGTCCTTGAGTGGTGAACAAGGCCTTCATGGTCTTACCACTCACTCTCTGGCTAGCTTTGTCTCTCACCACTTCCCCCAATGAAACTAAGCTGCTCACTATTCACCAGCTTGACCACTTAGTCAAAGTCTCTAGGAGTGGTTGTATTAGCATGTGCTGAATGAGTAAGTGGATGAGACAAAGACTTCTCTAGCTTGTTCATTCCAGTGTCAGGATGTAGTATGATACTCCCGCTAAAATCAGAGGGAACAGGAAGGGTCTCCTCTTGATGAATCATTTTTCAATCTTGAGTAATATCAATAGTGTCTCAAATCTCTTTAACATTGGGTTGATGTAGTTTTTGGATGAACTGGATAAATAGCTGCACCTGATAGCACAGAAAAAGTCAATCCCGCTTCCTATGCTAATTATTTATTTTTTACTGTTAACATTTGGGGCCCTCATAAGGATATATTAATCCTATTGCCTATTTAATTACCAGAAATGATAGCTCAATACCAACTATTCCAGCCCCGAAATAGCTGTTTTGGGTACATAGGGTCCAGAGTTGGAAAAAAATCACACTAAATTATTTTATCTGACATGCAGGTTTGTTCTGTTGTCTGTGGGGCACAATTTGCTGCTAATTTATTCAGAGTGTCTAAAATCTTTAGATGCAACCATGTTTTTCTTTCGTTTTTATGGATTGCTTGTCAATTCTGCATTTACAAAATTTTTCATGATAAAATTCTATTTGCCTTGTTTTATGGCTTGGGATTTTTGAGTCTCAGACTACAGATACTCAAGCATACGCAGAAAATTCTGATCCCTACTGTCAAATTCTCTGCAGAGATACAACTGTCTTCCTTCTAAATGCCAATGATAGTTGGTTTTATTGCAATAAAATATTTATCTTGCAACTCACACATCTGTTTTATAAATATGGATCTTGATTTAGTCAATAAAATCAAATACTCTTATTTTATACTCTTAAAATCTATTATTTGAAGTAATTTATTTTCTTTGAAGGTTTCCTGCCAAATACATTTTAGTTTTTGTGGCACTGTGTACAAAATTTTAAATTAGAAGGTTTGAAACTCAAGTCCTAGGTGGCTAAATATGTCCAGATGGCCAGATGAATCGTGTCAACTTCCTATGAATCTCATCTTTCTTTTCCTTGGCTTAGTTCTCTTTCTACCTCAGTAAGTAGCAATATTGAATTTGTTTGTGATTTTTAGATATGGGCTAATAAAATTTAAATGAAAATTTTTCCAGTCTGAGACCATTATCCAAAAGGAAAGAAACTAGACAAGGAATGCCAGTGTTTAGCAATACATAAAACTGCTTTTTGTTTTATATCCTCAGAAGCTAAGAATCTTATGGACAGGAAAAGATTTTTATGGATAAGGACTTATTTTTCTCTAGCTTTATGTCGAAGAGTGCTAGAATACAATTTAACAGTGCCAAATACAGATTAATAAAAGAAGAGAGGATGAAAACAGTAAAACAGACTACCGAAGAAATAAAAAACATAAAATTAAGTAAAATAAAAATGGATAAATATCTCAAACACTTAAGAGAAGACCATTGGAGAAAACCTCAAAAAATTGATAAGTAAATAGTTTGCAACATTTAATAATGGCAGTCTCTGTATTTAAGAAAAAAAAATCAGGTAGACAGCTTTCCATATATGAAGTTAAAATAGTATGGGAATATTAAGTCCTTATCAAATCATAGCCTAAGTGGGAAAATTTAGGTTATATATATGTGCGAAAGTACACATTTTTAAATTTTCTCTAGCGTTCTTGAGGAATATTAATATTTGGTTTTTAAAATATTTTTATTCCTTTCAACTTTTAGTTTTCCCACATTGAGCCCTGATAATAGATTACTGTGATCATTTTTAATCTCTTTTTCCTGTAGAATTCAGTGTTCTGATTTTTTATGATAGGATCCACCTGATTTAGCTCAGGGATTCAGTGAAAAATCAATTTAATATTTTTTCCAAAGGTTGTATCATCTTAAGTGCAAACTGTAGCTATTCCTTTGTTCCAAAATACTGTATTTTATTGAATGCTGTTGGACTCACAAGGCCACAGAGTTAGGTACCTGTGTACCAAAAGTAAATTAGGTTTCCTTTGCTTATCTCATAATGTAATTAAAGCACATATAATAGTTTATCTCATTTCACCATTCTTTCTTTTCTTTTTTTTTCAAGAACGACCCACATTTCTCAGGAGGCCAATTAACCAGGTGGTACTGGAGGAAGAAGCTGTAGAATTTCGTTGTCAAGTCCAAGGAGATCCTCAACCAACTGTGAGGTGGAAAAAGGATGATGCAGACTTGCCAAGAGGAAGGTAAGACCATCCTATGGATGGACTATTGCTAGATAACCAATGAATAATTAAGAAAGAAAAGGACAGCTACAGTGCCACCACCATATACTCCTACATCTTGTGGTATTTTCACTCATGTGATTTTTACATATGCAAGCCACATATTTACTGTTTGTATATTAAAGTCCTCCAGGCTTTCAATGTCACTCTTTCAGTGAATATCTACATCAGTGCTTGATTCTTCATTTCACCTCTTATCCCTGGATACCAGGGATTCCTGGGTGCCTTCTTTCCCCGGACCCTTTGAGGAATACTATTCCGTTCCTGCAGAATGCCCCCTGCATGCCTCCATCAATGACTGCCCTGTTCCCATGTTTCACCCACTCCGGATACCATTTGTCACCTCTACGGCCCAAAGCATAACTAACAAAAGACTACTGCATGTGGCTGACTGTAAGTCCTGGAGTAAAGGAAAGGTCAGCACAACACTGAACTGGTAGCAAGTAGTTGGCATTATTTTTCACACAGGGAATTTCTAACACAGGGACCTCCTGTCACTTTCTTTCTTGCCATCTCTTCATGGAGACCTTCTCTTCCATCTCTTTCTTATTGTTCTTATCACAAAGCCCTCAAACCCAAGCTCTCAAGCTCTCATCTTATTCAAAAATGCTTTTCATCTTATATGAAAATAGTTTTAACTTGTTGTTATATAAATTTCCCTAAGACCTTGCCATTTAGAATCAAATCAGTAATTCAAGTGGTTTGTTGTTGTTGTTGTTGTTGTTTTAACACAAGTAATTTTATCTTTAAGATTTGTTATGGCTTCCTGCTAGTTCTGCCTACTGACATTATAACCATCATACATTCTCCAATTATTGCCTGCATAAAATTGTACAGGCCATGTTTTACCGGTTCTTGTTTTTTACAACAAATTTTTGGCCAGGCACAGTGGCTCATGCCTGTAATCCCAGCACTTTGGGAGGTCAAGGCAGGTTGATCACCTCAGGTCAGCAGGTCAAGATCAGCCTGACCAACATGGTGAAACCTTGTCTCTATTAATAATACAAAAAATTAGCCAGGTGTGGTGGCGCACACCTGTAATCCCAGTTACTCGGGAGGCTGAGTCTGGAGGATCACTTGAACCCAGGAGGTGGAGGTTGCAGTGAGCCAAGATCCTGCCGCTGCACTCCAGCCTGGGTGACAGAGTGAGACTCTGTCTCATAAAGAAAAAAAAAAAAAGAAAAACTTTGTTTCATTCAACTGACTGGCATTAACCAGGCTTCTACAGAAGCTATATACCTTTTATGTGCTTTCACTGCTGTCAGTACTTTCCTAAATGTAAACATTCATTTCAAAATTTCAATTTTATAAATCCCAAGATATGATAGGATACTTTATTTCAAAAGACACGTCACTCATGGATTGAATGCACCAACCATTTATAACAGTTACTGAGAGGTTCTTTGCAATCTATGGGAATAAAACAAGTGAAAACATTAATTCAGTTAGTTTTTCGGCCTATGTAGTAGGGAAAGTCATTACTGTGTTTATCATTTTAATGCCAGACATCTATCTTTAAAGGAATGGTATTATTAGAAGACGTTTGTAAATGGGAGGCTTTTCATGCCGTCTCATTGGAGAAGCAGGTTAGAAAACAAGGAGAGTTTACACTATTGAACTGTTACTGTCCATCCTCTACACATAGTCAACAACTTGCTTCAAATTTGAGAGCACATAATGAATAATTTTAAAATGTTAATGTAAGGTGAAGAGATTAATTCTATAGTAAAATTTATCCTAGTGTAAACAAAGGTTTATTTTTTAAAACTGGGAGTATATGGCCTTGTCCATTGTAACTTCAAAAACCTTCAGTTTTGGCATAATTTTGATTTATAGGAAAGTAACAAAGTAACAGAGAGTTTCCATATACACTACACCCAGTTTTCCTTATTGTTAATATCTTACACGACTATAAAACATTTGTCACGACTAATGAGCAAACCTTGATACGTAATAATTAAGTAAAGTGTATACAGTATTTGGATCTCCCAGGTTTTCATCATTGTCCTCTTTCTACTCCAAGTCCTGTTCAGGTAATTATTGAGTTGGCTCTCACAGACTTCTGCATTTGTTCTCATATCTCTCCGGTCTCTTCTGGCTTGTTACAGGTTCTTAGTGTTTCCTAGTTTTGTGAGCTTAACAACCTTGCAGGGAAGTACTGGCCAGGTACGCTATCGAATGTCCCCCAAACTTGGATTAGGCTGGTGTTTTCTCCTATTAGAATGGGTTCATAGGTTTTTTTTTAAAAAAATGCCATAGAAATGACATGCTCTTCTTATCACATTGTATCGGGGGTACATTATATCCGTATAACAGCACTGGTGACCCTGTTAATTTTCAAACATTGAGCAAGAGCTCATTGAAAAAAGTATTAAAAATAGAGAATTGTAAGTGTGCATTGCATTTTAACATGTCTATGTTTCTGAATTAAGGTAAAATAGAAATGAATTGAGCCTAGTTTGATTATTTTCAGTTTAATGTAGGTGTTGGTCATAAACCTGACAACTTAAGCTGCTACACTGTTCTCTAAATCTTGCCAAATTCATTTGCTTCAAAGTACAAATGATACATATAAATCAAACAACAGCATTCAGGTTACATTTTCAGAAGGTATGATATCAAGGCCACTAAACAACAAGGTTGAAAGCATGAGAAATCTTAGTTTCATTAACTTCCTTTAAAACATTTTCATAGCTTTGGCCTCTTTATTCTTTTTACTGGCATATTATTGTAGTACTTTGTGTAACGAGTTAAATATTTTTAAAATCTTAGGCAAATGGAAGTGCTGTGTAAGCTTTAAATTGTTTTGTTAGAGAGGCTTAAAGCAAGGATAAGTTTAATATAGAAACTGAGGTCAATATTTTCATCATGAAAGAAGCATGTACTTTTTCTTGAATTCCCAGTCTTTAAGTGATATTTCAGAGGAGTTTATTCGTTCCTCGATTTGTATGTATTAGCATAAGCCTCACTTATGCATAATGAGAGGGAAAGACACTTCTTTCCTTGGTGAGGAATAACAGTAATAACTTTTAGCCAACCACAGACTAAATCAACAACATTGATTCTATTACATTATTTAGGTCTCAGACTAGGGAGATGGCCATTGTTCTTGTATAAGCAATTGGTGTGGTGGATGACATTTCTTTGGCTTAACACTTAATGAAATTTGAATAAGGTTTGTGTAGTGGTTCATGCTTAACACATTTATAGGAAGGCTTTGTAGGACAGCTGCATAGCCTGTAATTACTATGTAAGTAATATGTGACTATTTTTCTTTTGGAGACAAGAAAAGCTTTTCAATTCAAGTTTAAATTTATGAAATGCTGTAAGAGCTATTAAAATCTTCAACACAGAAGAAGATATCTGTGCCAACCTTTCAGTAACCAGAGATGAATTAAGGGAGTATTTTTTCCCCTTGCCTTGAAAATATTTTTTAAGTAGTACTGATAGGCCTCTTTCTTTTATTTAGTCTTAAACTCCTGACCTTTCTCAGTAACTACCTTTAATGAAATTACAACAGACTCAGTGAGTTGTATTAAAACATTTTCTGAAAAGATGAATGTTTCAGTGAGGTAGGAAGCATAGCAAGTCTAACAATAACCCTTATGCTCAACTAGGGAAAGTTATTTATGTGGACATTTTCCATGTGACCAAGAGACAAAACGGGAAGGAGTCTACATTGTACACATTAGTGCCAAACTGTTAATTCCTTGCAGAGACTTCTGAAGATATTACCATTTCACAATTGAATATTTCGGGAAGCATACTGATTCTGTACCAAGTACCAATACTGTTTTCTAGAAGGTTTCAATACATATATATTAGGGACAAAAATTTCATACACTAATGTGAAAATAAAGTGAGTAGGGGGAACAAGCAAGTGAAAGGCATTTTATAGTTTATAAAAATTATGGTTTTTAAAGCACATTTTAAAAGCATAATTTAAATAGTAGAAGATGCACTTTTGGGTTTACCTACATTTAGTGAGTGCCTACTACATTTATAATGCTCATTGCAAGTTTGACAAAGTAAGAAACACGGTAACTTAACTGTTATTAGTTCTTTAGTTTTTGTTTTATATTAGTGAGATTGGGCGACGTGGGAAAGTATTCACATTCTGAATACAGTAAAGAAAGTAAACTGGAGCAGCTCTAGTTACATTCTTGGGTCAAATATCCAACATTTTGCTTATCAGTACTCTCTTGATTAAGTGCCTTCAATACACCTTTTCACAAAGTGTTTTAGGTGATAGAAGTTGCCAGTATTTTTAATAAATGAGGTGAGGTTCCACCTCATGCCATGTTCCATCATAACATAAGTGTATTGTGTATTTTTGTTATATAAATATATTTATGTGCTGAAAGTCTGTAAAAAATTATAAAATGAAGAAACATTACCATAACACAAGTAACATGACATAAAGAAACAATATAATAAAATTGTAACCAAAGATATAAAAATAAATTGAAATATGACAACACTGCAGTGTTCTGTTCAATTTAATATTGAGGTTTTTTTAAAATCCCTCTTGGAACTTGGATAAGAGTTAGTGTGATTAATCTGATTGTGAATTCTTATCTATGCATGTCAGCAGACTTTGTATTTCATTTCATTATTAGCAGCCTTTAAAGAACTGTAAACAGGAGATTTAATCTCTCTCATCAATCATGTAATTTTCAGCATATTACCATTAGCTCCATTTTCTTTTTTTATTTCTTTTTTATCTTCTAAACTAACTCTAAAGTGACACTAAGTTCCTCAATAACAACTTCTGTCTTCCACAATAGAGAAAGGAATGTTCAAAATCGCTTGTCAGAAGAAAAAAGAAATAAAATATGCCATTTACATTCTTATGTATGCCTGCAAATTCTAAATTTAGTTGATGGCTTGCACATAGTGGATATAATTAATGAATATTTCATAAAACAGGAAAGGGAGTAGAGAATAAGAGTTTCAAGATA